CCCCAAAACCCCAAAACCCCAAAACCCCAAAACCCCGTAAGTAGTCTAGTAAATTGAGTCAAACATTTATTATTGAGCCAAGCTCATTGCTTTTCTTAATCAAAGGGTGAAATAGTAAACCAGATGTTCATTCCTGTTAAGAAGAACGTCATTATTAAACCGTATAGGAAGAAAAGGAATGAGAGAATGAGCTCCCACTTTGCAACCTTCACTTTATGCTTTCTCATGATGATGAAATAGAAGATACCTGGAAATGTTACATTTAGAGTCGCGTTAGCGCCTGAACCAATGAATTTTACGACAATTTCGACGTCTTTAATTACTCATGCTGCTCCGACTACTAAAGCGTATCAAACTAATGTGATAGTATAGTAAACCCAGTTTGGAATAAGCTCATTGATAACATCACTCTTCAAGGCTGATCCCGTTATTACCATCGGTTTCTTTACTTTTTTAGAAAATGGAATTGCTAGACTAATATCTCTCTCGACTCCTTCTGAAATAATCATGCTACTAATAGTCATGTTTCTAACAGTCGACCTTCTTTTCTTTGGGTTGTTTGAATCATGACTAAAATTTTCATCAAGAAGCTGTTCTCTTTCATTTCCCCCTCCTTCTTTATCTTCGCTTTGGTTCTTTTTGTCAAGATATTCATAATGGATTTGGCTTTGATCGATCTCTTCTTGTCTACCTCCTCTAATATATAGCAATGCAACAATTGCGATGACTGATCCTTTCCCAATGAAGAAGATGAATGGGGTGTGAGCTGCCATCACAAGGAGGAAGATGGCTCTGAGAACGTAGGACTCCCATACTCTGACTCCTTCCACGTTTTCAAGAACATCTCCTTGAATGTCCACTCCGAATGAGTAGAGCGAGACAAAAATAATCATTGTGTAGATGATAAAACAAAAGAGCATTCCAAAGAAAGTGAACTTTATCCCATTCTGGTACGATTTGCTCTCTAAAGAGTTGTAGATGGGGAAAAAGGCAGACTGGAATGCAAACGCCACAAAGGCAGTTGACAAAGATGACAACCATGGTTTACTGAACCTGAAGAAGTAAAAGTCTCCGTTAGAAATTGGCGGTCTTTTTAGATCACTATCATTTATCATTCTCATTAGAAACATTAAAATAATGAATATGATCACTGAAGCGACTAGTAGTATTCCGGCAATTTTTAGCTCTTGAATCTTCTTCTTTATAATCAGTGGGAAAATCAAGACTGCAAGTATCATTACGCTGAACCATTGGTTGCCAATAGTACTTTGTCCGTGCTTCTCAACCCAAGGTATTTCATCGAAAAATGATTTTAATAGTTTGGCAAATACAATAAAATATGCAATAGGAAGTAGCCCAAAGGCTAGAAACTGGATAAAGTTCACAAGATAGAGAGAACAATGTCCAAAACATTCGTAGCCAAGCTGTGGCATGGAATAATGTCCAGTGACTTGTGCTGATCTCAAGAAGAGGTGAATAGAGTACACACTCAGGATAAGGTTAAAGATATTGTAAGCTAGTGCCCAAGGGATTCCAGATTCATAAGCTGCCTTAGGTACAGAAACCATTCCTGCTCCGATTGTCACGCTGATGACTGTAAATACTGCAACTGATACAGAGACTTTGTGCTCAACAACAGTGAAGTTACTTCTTGGTTCACTAGTACCGCTATGCATAGACGTGGTCTTTGCCATTTAACAACGAGAACTATCAATTAATATATTAGTTTATGGGGTTTTGGGGTTTTGGGGTTTTGGGGTTTTGGGGTTTTGGGGTTTTGGGG